ACTGCACGGAGCGTAGGGCTGCCGGGGCCGCCACCGCGGGGCATCCGCCCGCCGAGCCCCGCCGGGACCGAGAGCGGCCGCCCCGGCCCGAAGGCAGCGGGGTTCAAGCCGTCGATCCTGAAGGGAGAGCACAGCCCTGCGAGAAACGCAGCTGAAACGGGCAGCGGGGCTGGGAGAGCGCTGGCAGGGGCTGCGTGGGTCGGGCACGGGGACTACGTGTGCGAGCAGGAGGGTGCAAGAGTTGGAGGAGAGCCTGGCGCCAAAAGGGGCGATATGGAAACGGGGGGGACTCTCCCTCGAGGAAAACCTCGTTGGAAAGGGGCAGCGGGAGCAGCAAGTGGAGGCGGGGCGGGCGGGATGAGAGGTGGGGAGGATCGGTGGGGGCGCGCAGGGAGCCGGGGAGAATCACCCCCGGCAAGACGCGCCAGCTCTGAGTTGTCCCTCGGGACCCTCGGGAGGCCGCCCCTCCACCCCAGTGCTTGGTCAGCCCCTTCCTGACATCCCACGGCGTCGCGCCTCTGTGTGCCACCAAAGCAGTGTCGCCGGCAAAAGGACGCGGATTTCGTGCTGCCGAGTTATGAGCAGCTGCCCCGGGCGCAGCAGAGTGACCCCGCGGGGCAGCTCCTGCCGCAGGCTTCCCAGGAGCATCGTCCTCCTGCTCCCCACCTCCACCACCATCCCAGCAGGCATCTTCCCCAGCATATCGTAGAAATCTCGGTCTAATACGCTCTCCTGCTCTCGCCACCTCCCAGCTTGCTCCACGGTACCTGTTTCCACCGGCCAGATGCAGGGGAATCCCAGTCTGCGACGTGCTGGTTCACCGGGGGCTGAAGCCGTTCCCGTTCCCGCGCAGCAACAGCCCGGCAGGTCACGGCATCGCGTGGACCACAGTACCGGCAGCGCCTGGGCGAGAAACAGCCACTTGCCGGCCTGTTTGCCTGCCTTTGGAGTTGTTGCTATCAACGACAACTCGTGACACGTCGTTTTTTCCAACGCTTCGAGCGCCCATATGGATAAAACTACCGCAGTTTCGGCTGTCACCCTCACAACCGCTCAGCTGTCACGGTCTAATGGGAAGGGGCCAAGGAAATTTGAGAACGGAGCTCCAGGAGCCCTGTGGCTGAGACTGTGGAAGGAACAGCGATGACTGGGGAAGAAACCGGACTGGAAAACAGCGCTCACGCGTGGATTCGCTTATGGAGAGAAACGAGAAAACTCTCCGCAGAACTGGCTCAGAAATGTTGCGGCTGATTGTCTGTTATGCCGCTGCCTGTCGTGGCTGGGCGAATCGTGGAAGGGCTGCAAGTCACCCGCACCAACTTGGGATACACGACACCCGCCAGAGCGACAGAGACCTCAACCCTGGCTATGTGTCCTCGCCCCGCACAGTCATGTTAACTGCCGTGAGCACCCGGGATTCACCCAGAGACGCAGTGTTTCTGCGCTTATATGAAGAGTCAACAATATCAAAGGGGTCAGCACAGTCTTACGTGCTCAGTTATTTCCTATCGAATAGTCGTTGCCGAAAGATAAACCATATCAGCGCTACTGAGCATTCTTATCACCAGTCCACACAATGTGATAAAAGTATAGGCTTCACCCCGGTAAGACCCAAACCAGTCATCTAACCGTGCATTTAATAGAATTTAATTCTGGAGCAATTTAAAGACTTGAGAAGGAAAACAATATGCTTTACCCACCACAGCTGCACCGTGCACATAAATACACGTTATGACCCTCTGTCCATTCTGGAGCGCTTCTGTAACAAACCGTGTCTGCAGGCTCACAGTGCTGACAGCAGATTTCTTTTCTCATAGGCCCTTACGCAACCAAATACCAATCACCTTTCTTATATATAATCTGAAAAGAAGCGTCACAGCTCTCTTCAAAACAAATCTTGAAACGGTCTCCAGCCGCTTATTTTCTCTGAAATAAGCTCTCAATCTTTTTCCCAACCACTGCATATTTCGTGTCTTTTCTAAACTCTGCTTTACTGAGCAATTTCTCTACCATGCGTACCACATTTCTTAAGGAGTTTCTCTTCACACGAGTGCACACACGACCTGTATTCAGAGTACACTTAATCCCAGCAGCAGTAGGAGGGGGAAGCAGCGAAGAGCTGAGTACAGCGAAGAGATCTCGGGAAAGGACTGAACATTTCCATCTCCCTTATTTCGACTGATCTGGAGACATTACATCTCCTCACTTTGATGGGAAACCCGAATACTGACGGCGACACCTCGGAGCTCCTGAAAGCACTATTTGGAGGGCGAGGAGTGGAAACGTGCGACAGGTAAGGGGAAAGACGCCTTTCCACTGCACCAGAAATTCCTTCGGGGACGGATTCAAGACAAATCCTAGCCAGAGCCGCTCACTCAGCGCTATTCCCGGCTCCGCCGGGGCTCCAGAGGAGCCGGTGGCAGCAGCAGATCCAAAGCATTTGCTGCTTGGCTCTGGGCTCGGAGGCACCAGCCCCAGGACCCCAGACGAAGGTGTCAAGGGTGTACACACATCTTCCTTTTGAGGGATTCAGAGTACGAAAAGAACCACGCTGGAAGGGAAAACAGAACTACAGAGTTGCTGCCCTCACCGGGTGAACAGACCGGGATAGATCACACATCTTTATCACAGGCAAGCACTCAAATGTGGCAGAGGCAATGAACGAAGCAGTCACTACACCAGGGTGAAACTGAGCTTCGGATCCCACAACACATTTTCCCCCTCTCCACCGCGAGTCCACAACAACCACTCCGGCTCGGTGAAGCTTCCACCCGGAGTACGACAGACGGACAGCAGTACTGACAACACAGCGTCTCTTTTCGGGGTACAACCGACAATTCGCGGGTGAGATCGGGCAGATCAAAGGGAAAAGTCAGGATCACACACACACACACACACACGAGCTATTGAGCAGTGCGTTCGGCGGCGAAGTTGAGCTCTGCTGGTGGCTCACAGATCCCCGACCGCGGAACGGGAGATTATTCGGATAAGCCATCAAGGAGGGACCTCAGGGCAGAAGCTCACCTGTGCCGAGAGCCCGGGGCTAGGAGGATCCTTCCCGGACTGAGTGTCTGAGCCCTGTTCCCCGGCCAGGAGACGGTCAGGCAGCGCTGCTGCCCCTTGTCTAAGAAACGTGAAGTCCTTCTGGCCGGACTCGGAGGCTAAACACACCTCGTAGGAGTAGGGCAAAGGCAGCGTGCTGCTACAGTAGTTGAACGGTGCTTTTGAGCCGAGGCTGGAATACAGTTCCTTATCAGAAGTTAAAAAGACGGGGGGGCTCCTTGAGCGTCGGCATTTAAAGAACAACATCAGAATGACTGTGCAAACAAATAATAAGGACACGACAGCGAGCGCGACTACAAGGATGATGTTTAAATCAGACGTCAGCTCGGACACAGTGTCTTTGTCGCTCAGCTCCGGCAGCGCCTCCTGCAAGCTCTCGGCCAGCACCACGTGCAGCGTGGCCGTGGCCGACAGCGCCGGCTGCCCGTGGTCCTTCACCACGGCCACCAGCCGCTGCTTGGCCGCGTCCCGCTGTAATGCTTATCACTCTCAATTAATGCTTGTAACGCACTTGGAGTAAGCAATGGGTAGGGGACTGTGCACGTGTTCTCCACAAGTTCCTTCTGGCAAAGTAGAAGACCAAATCTCTCAGTCATTTCTGATGATTCATTGTCTTGGGTTTGTGTGTGTGGCAGGGGAGTTGGTAGCTGGGGAAGGAGCTACATGGGTGGTGTCTGTGAGAAGATTGTCAAAGCTCCCCTGGCTCCATGTTGACCCACTTCTGGCCAAGGCCAAGCCAGTTAGCAATGGTGGCTGCACCTCTGTGATAACGTATTTAAGAAGGAGAATCTGGGAAGAGGA